TCCATCAATGAGCTTTTGCCGGGCCACCTGAGTTTGGAAACACAACTGTCAACCAACATGTGTGTACTTCGTTTTGTCAACAAGGAATTTGCAGCCCAATGATCTGAAGTTGTTTTGTTTGGCAGTTCAATGACATACTTGGCAGGTTTCTGGAACAAAGAAAGTGAACAAAAATCTGGCGCTTAGACGGGTTATAAGAATTTGTCGCGCTATGTTGCGAGGAAGGTGAAAAGAGGCATCTCCGAGAAACTTGTTTGAGGCTGATGTATCCACTCTCTTGCACAGCGCCCTCTCTTTGCGCCAGGTGTAAAAATCTTTGAAGCTGGTCTTGTCGGATGTCTTGCGCACAGGCGCTGTATGCTTTGAGCTTCTCCAGATCCAAGAGGCACTGGACCTCCCAAGGAGGACCGGCGTCGAAGCCAGAAGGTTCTTCGCCTGTCCGGAATATCAACGAATTCCAAGCGAAAAGTCTTATCGGCAGGATGTGTACTTAGAAAGCAAGAGAAGAGAAGAGGAGGACCGGGAAGGAAAGAAAGAAGTCACGCAGGTCGGACAAGGAATATGTGAAGTCAGCGATACAGGAATACAGGAAAATGCATCACATTGAGTCCACATCTCGCCTGAACAGAAAGGATCCCACGAAGCTTCACCTGTGACGTCCTCTGGCCAAGCCCAATGCTCCCAGGTTCCAAAGACTTCACAAGGCGCATCACATAGGCTACCGAGCGTACGCTCCATCTTAACCACATTCACGCTGCGACGTTGAAACTTCAAGGACTTGCCCGCAGGTTGCAGCACAGTGCGCGCCAAATGCGGCCAACGCAGGGATGCATCTTGCAAGCACTCGGACCGCAGGCGCTTCGTACTGCCCTTGGTTTTCTGTCCAACGCCAGGATTGCTGACCGCTGCGAAGCGGTTGACTGTGTAGGGAGGGAAAAATGACCAGTCATGGCTGCATGCACTTCGCGCACCAATTTCTCTGCTTGCACAATCTGTATCCGCTATGTCTTCTGCAGGGCCCGATGGATCAGAGTCCACATCTGGCGTTGTTGCGTCTGTCAGACGCACCATTCGTCGAAGGAACCATTGCGTGTCCTCCAAAACCATAAAGCCAGTGTTGTTGAGGAGATGTTACTCGAGGATTCTAAGATACTGAGTGAGACAAGACACAAACTCTTAAAAGCCACGCAAGGGGCCACAAAAACAACCTGCGTGGGTCTCACTTGTCCTTGGCAGTCTGGGCGTCTGGGTTGTCAGGAGAAAGGATGCGATAGCACTTATCCAGAGAGGTGTTCTGCACGAAGGGGGAAGACCCAGTCGTGATAAAAGGCCCACACTGCGGCTGAAGATGCACAGAAACTCTTTGCTTCAGTGTCTGCAAGGAAGCAGCATTCCTCGATGTTGACTTTTCGTGGATCATGCGTCAGCTCGTTCCGCATGTAGGTGCACAGAAACCTTCTACTGTGAGATGTTTCCATGGCCGCTGGCAGCAGCGGTATATCAGCGGAGTTGAGCAGCCAATTCTTCGCACAGTACTCAAAACTGATGTACTGTAGTGTGTTTCCTGCTCGTGGTTTCTTCTGAGGGGAAGCAGGCCACCAGAAATGAAGACCTTTAGCACGTCTTCTATCAGGCCAGCGCCCCTACGAGCCTCGTCGAAGCTCAGCATCATGCAATGGAAGAAAGCGTGACCCTGTTGCTGGAATTCTCTCTCCACCTGGCCGTATTCAGATTTAAAGGGCCTGGGATTGAACGCATGGTCATTATCAAAACAACGGTTGATTCTATCTCTTGCTCTGTCTTGAACATGCGGTTGGGAGAGACTGTCATCTCTAAGGTCATATCAGCACAAGCTCGTCGTCTTTGTAAACAAGAACACGGTGTAAAATTCAATAATAGGTGGCGCGGAAACAAAGCCCAAGCTCAAACAGCGTAACCCATTTCCTAAGTGCGTCTGCTGTTCTCTTCAAAACCCTCAAGGCTGCAAAAAAAAGGAGCCCATGCCTGCAAAAGAGAGCACGCAGGGTTTGCAAAGCCAGTGCCAAAAACAGCCTGCATCAAGTCCACTAGCACCATACTCTTGCCATCAGCCCCTCCACCGACAACACAGTGCATGATCTCTGGCTGACGTCTTCTAGATACTGCCAGGGCTATTTGTGCCAGAAGGATGTGAAGCCCATTTGTCTTCGCAAAGGTGCTCAGGAGAAGCGCGGCCAGGCGTTCTCGTGCATGATCCGGGGCTTTCCAAACAAGAGGGGCTGGAACAAGGACATAGCAGCCTCTTCGTGGATCTTTCTTCATTTGGCGCACTTTCCCCGCAGAAGTCGAAAGATAACCTGCAGAGGATCGATAGTTGGCTGTGCCGTGGGAAAGGGAGCCTCATATATCAGGCAATGTGAGGTGCGTCTGACAGCGTCCCCGCGGAATGAAAACTATCGTGGCGCGGGTACGACTTACTAGCAAGCCAGCAGCAATCCAGAAGCAGCAGCATGTCAGCAGCAAAGCCGTGACGACTGACAACTGTCAAAGGATCTTTCCATCTCACTGGCAGCAATGCAATTCTCAGAGGTATTGTGTTTAGGACACCCCCCCCATCGTTTTCCGATGAAAAATTGAAGACATTGGCTGTATGCGACACAGAAGTTCAAGCTACATGACGTAGTTTTGTCTTTTACTCCTATGAACCCTTTGATTATGCGTTCGACTTGCAACATACAGGGAAGTAACGTCCGTTAATGTGCGTTGGTGTACTAGGGCAGTGACAATCCAAAAAAGCAATACCGGGCTTGCGCTTGCTATCCATCTTGGAATCACTCCAGCGCATGAAGTTACGGACAAGTGTTTTGGAGTGGTCTGCCAACTGCTTCCGGAGATCACGGGCAAGTTCTGCCAGTCCCAGCCACCATTGCTGCGAGCGCTGCTCAGGCTTGGCTCTGCTTAGTTCTCCAAGCTGCCACTCTAGCAGTGGCCGCTCATCAGCCAAAGAAAAAACGACTTTGAGTTCCCAGACCACTGCAGCGAAGTCCCTTGGAACTTGGTTACCTTGGCCGTGCGCAGGGTGTGCAGAACAAGAATCTGACATTACAGGTCCAACATGAAAACTACTGGCTATCTGCAGAACCTAGGCTGTAGAATGCCAACCAAAAAGTCTGTACCAGTACCAGATATGCCTGCTAGGAACGGCCAACGGCCTGCACGAAGTAAGCTTGGGCTCGCCGTAAGGCCATGGTGAGAAACTCTAAGTCGGCAGCCGTCAGGGTGCCGCTCGAAGAAACTTGCCATGCCCCCTCTGCATAAGCAAACAATTTCTCTCCATGCGTTCTATACTTTTCTCCGAGAAGCAAAGTGAAGGCTTTTGTTTGAAGAAGCTCGGACTTTCCGTCATCTGCACACTGGTCCAATAGCAACAGGGTAGCTTGCGCCGCAGCACGGCGTTGCTGCCAATCATCAGAGAGGAGTTTGTTGGTCCAACCAAAGGCATTGTCTATCTTATCCCGCAGGAGATCCATCGTGTCACTGAGACTCTTTGCCTGTCTTTCTTTGTCAACGGATAAGCTGAGATCTCTATTCTCGAGCGGGCCTAACATATCCATGCCCTGCGGTTTCCACAAGGAGGAAACCGGTGCAAAGAATGCATCCTTTGGATGGTCGATGTTGCTCGCAGAAGAGATCTCCGACGCCGTCAGCTCATACGGCAACTCTAGTCCAAGATGTACATGCGTCAGCACAGATTCGTCCACTTCTGCGGCCGCTCTGTTTCTATCATATTCGGTCGCAAAATCTTCCATGGGGCCCTGGACCCTGGAGATTCAAAGATAAAATGGTGAGAAGTCCTGTGTGTTGTTTTGTTGTCCATCCAATGTCTGGTTATCATGCCAGTCTGTGGTGTATCTCTCTTCTCCTGTACGTTACTTTTGTTGCGCGGGATCATCTCCATTGTGCCGAAAATCTTCGATTGTTACACAACTGGGAATGATAAGTCTCTTATATTGTTAAGTGTCTGAGAAGTGTTAAGTGTTCTTTTAGTCATACGGAGTGTGATTGTCTCCACTCCAAAGATCCTGTTCTTTTCCAATTGTCTTGTATTGTTTACTTGTTGTGTTCAAAGTTGTCTTGTATTGTTTTAACTACTTGTGTGCCGCGTGGTCCGGAACTGTCCAACGAACGGCCCCCCCCCCCCGGTGGGTTCAACTCCCCCCTGGGACGCCTCTGGGACACCTCTCGGGCACCTCTTATGGCATCCACTTTGGTTTAACTCCTCCGGGATACGGTGCAACAGATTCAACAAGCTCACAGGTTCGTAAACACATCGGATGCATCGAATAGTGTGGCAAAGTCCAGCCACGCTTCCTTAATTATCGGGGACTTCAATTCTAAGGTTGGCTGTGTCATTGCTGTTTGTGTGTCTTACATGTTCACAACGTTTTACTTCATGAGCATTTGCCTCAATCCGGTTGATGTCCCACCAGTCCGGATGCACCCCTGCTAGCTTTCGTCACCTACCCTCGGCCTCAAGTAGCAATTGATGATCACAGGGGAGAAAGGAGTGAAGCAGAGAACAACAGCAAAAGAAATAATACAAAATCAAGAAGAACATAGCACAAAAGCAACGAACTGCACACGGAAGAAAGGAGAAAAGGGCGAACCGGAAACGAATGTGGCGCAGATCCTGGCGTGCTGGCAAATCACCAGTTCTCTGGGTGCAACTACAGTGACACACAACTGCCACCAACCACCTTCTTTTGGGCGGAGCCTGACCAAAAAAGTTGTTCTTGGACTTGGACTCTTGCAAGTTTTGGGCCCAGCCACGTGACACCAGAAAAGAGAGAGAAGAGAGAGTGTTGTTAAAACACAGTGCAAAGGTGTAAGCACTTCCACGTGTTAATTAGAAGATGTTCACAGTAATGGAATAATATGAAATGGAATGCCTATCGTTTGGTGAGTTCCATTTTTAGAATCACTGCTTTTAGGGGTCCAAGTGCTTCCGAACAATTTTGGTAATGCTGGCCATACGGCCACACCTTCATGTGCGGCGCCATGCGCTGCAGTTTCTTCGGTTCCATTCCAAAGTAGTGACTTGCTCGGAGCTTTTGATCTACGGAGCCAACACTGATGTGGGGAAGACCGTGGTGAGTGCTGCTTTGTGCCATTATTTGATCACCAGAGGACATGCGGTGACCTACATTAAGCCTGTTCAGACAGGCAGTGAGACGGATGCCGACGCGATCTCCAGACTCTGCACCGCGGAAGGGCTCAGCAATATCGCGTTTGAAACGCTCTTTCACTATCCCTCGCCAGAATCTCCAGCCAGTGCGGCTGAGAAAGCTGGAGTGACGGGGCAGGAGCTAGACCAAAGATAACCAAAACATACCAAAACGTGAGTCTCACCGTGGCCCACAGTTTTTCAACAGACACAGCTTCACTCTTACTCTTGGAGAAGCTGGGAGATGCGTTACGCATTCTTTTCCCCCAAGAATTTATATTAATTTCCACCTGGCATGCTGTACGGCTCGCTTGATCCAGTGGGGCTAGAAGCACACAAATCGTTTTTCTTCGCGAGTGTGATTGTAGGCTTCACTTGGCTGCACTTGAGGTCATAGGCAAGAGCTTTTGGACATGCACGACCAACCAATGCGGTCACGTCCGCTCATGGATGGGCTCAAAACCATCAAGCCCATGGGGCTGTTCGGCGCGCGACAGTGAAAAGCTGCGGTCGCGCTGGGATTCGTTTTCCATGCAAAGCTACCCACAGTGGTAGCGGAGCATGGCTAGTGCCATGGCGGGGGCAACGGCTTCAGCGGCCGAGGCATCCGAGGGCGGCAGCACTTCGCCCGTTCAATCTCATGGAGGACGGGAACGAGATCTTCCGCCGGGCTTCGATGGAGGAGATCCGACCGCGTTCAAACGATATGAACGCGACATCAGGCTGTGGCAGTTCGATACCGACGTGCCCAAGTCCAAGCACGGGGTTCGCATGTTGAGGACACTGACAGGACCTGCTCGAGCCGCCGCCGAGGAGGTTCCACTGGACGACCTGCTAGGAGAAGGGGGCAGTGCTGCGATCATGAAGAAGTTGAAGGAACACTTTGCCCCGTACCTCGAGAGTGCGCTCCCTCGAGCATTCGAACGTGCCGTGTACTCGGAGGCACGGAAGAGCAAGGAGTCACTCCAAGAGTACATCATCAGGCAAGACGCCGCCTTCAAGGAGCTGAAGGGTGAGGGGGTTCAGCTGGACGACATCGTGAAGGGTTACATCATCTTCAGGCACGCCAATCTGACCCAGGTCCAAGAAGATCAGGTCACCACGTGGACGGCCGGGAAATACAGCCGAGAAGAGGTAATCAAGGCTCTGAGGCGGCTGGAGAAAGTTCATCATGACAAAGGGAAGCACTACCTCACGGCCGACGACGAGGGTGAGGTCTATCACCTGGAGACGCCCGACGGCATCCCATTCGATGAGGACGAGGAGAACTATGTATGGGTCAACGATGGAGATTTAGAGTCAGAGGAAATCTTCGATGAGGCCGAACTTCACGAGGCCCTAGCCACCTACCAGGAAGTCAGACGAGCTCTTCGTGAACAGAAGGTGCAACGAGGCTGGAAGGGAAAGAACAAGAGCAAGGGCGGTGGCAAGTCCAAAGCGACAGGACCCTTTCGTAGCCAGTCCGAGGCTGGAAGCCGCCGGGTGCACATAGACATGCTCAAGCTGCGCACGAAGTGCGCTCGATGTGGACAGATCGGTCATTGGGCCAAGGAGTGCACCGGATCTCCCGATGCACACGCCCGCAATCGTAGCGTCGTAGCAGCGAGAAGGAGGCTGCCAAGACTGGATTCTTCGTGGCTAGCGAGAAATCCGAGACCTACGCGTGCTGGGAGGGCTTTGAGGACTCGTCCGTGTTCCATGTCACTCTAGGCGAATGTCTTCCAAACCGATGTACCACTCCGTTCATTGGAATTCAAACGGAGTCACAACAAGGGGTGGTAGACACGGCAGCTCAGTCTGGACTCATCGGTGAGAGGGCACTTCGTCGCTTGGAAGAAAGTTTGAAACCCCACCAGCTCAAAGGCCTTTGGACGGGGAAGAAGGCTCAGGCACGAGGTGTTGGTGGTGAGGCCCAGGTCATTGGTGTGATCGAGCTTCCACTCGGTCTTGGTGGAATCTCTGGCGTTTTGGAATGCACAGTGGTCAAAGAGGACGTTCCTTTGCTACTCCCCATCAGGCTTCTTCCGGACCTCCGGGCGGTAGTAGACTTGGGGAAAGATCAACTGGTGTTGAAAGAGACGTGTACGATCCCCATGAACCAGCTACCCTCTGGACACGCTTCGATCGACGTTTTGGACTTCGGGACTACCGGATGGCAGTTACCTCGGGCAGCACACGACGTCGGAAGAAGAGCAGAACAATTTCATCTGTGTGTGGTGCGTGATGAAGCCATGAGTGGAACGAGAGATCGACACGCCTGGAGCCCCAATCCCGACTGTGGACATCACCCACTGTGCCATGGAGCTGATGCGCCGCTTGCGAGAGATGGACAGCAAGGACCAGCAGGGCAACATGGAGACCACGGAGTCGGCACGGGGCTTGTTGCACTGGCGGTGCATGGGAAAAAGGATGCTGAACCTGGTCCGAGAGTCAGAGCAAGAGCCAAATGGTGCTGGTGGAGAATGACGAGGCGGAGGGCATCGACCCGGAGGACTTGATCGACGGAGCTCAAGCTGAGGAGGAGAGGCTTGAGCGGATGCAACCCACCGCTGAGGCAGAGGAAGGGGCAGAAGGTGATGAACGGGAGCAACAGCCCCTGCCGTGCGGAGTCAGCAGAAGAGAGAAGGACCTCATCAAGAAGCTGCGCGTGAACTTGGGGCATCCGAGCCGTCAAGACTTTCATCGAGCTCTGAGGATGTCAAGGGCGAGGCCGGAGATCCTAGCCTATGTGAAAAGGGAGTTCCACTGTGATCACTGTGAGGAGCATCAACCTCCACGGAGCGCTCGACCAGCAACAATCCCCAAGACCTATGCGCCCAATCGAGTGGTCGGGGTAGATGTGGTCTTCATGCCAGCTTTGAACCCCAGGGAGACGAAGCCAGTATTGAACATAGTCGACTGGGGAACGTGCTATCAAGTGCTGGAACCTGTGGAGGATATGACCTCTGATGCCATCTGGATGAGCTTTCTACGAGGATGGGTTCGAACCTTCGGCATGCCCGAGATGATCGCGATGGATCAAGGCCGGGAGTTCATTGGGAGCTTTGCGCAGAGAGCCTCAGAGTATGGCGGCTTGGTGAGAACTATTGGGGCTCGCGCTCCATGGCAGAACGGTCGCACGGAACGCCACGGAGGTCTAGCAAAGGGGATCTTCATCAAGACGGGCAACCAAGTCGGCATTGCAAGTGCCATGGACTGGGAAGAATGTCTGAGGAGTGTGGAAGCCGCCAAGAACAGGTTATTCAATCGATCCGGCTACAGCCCAGCTCAGAGACAGCTCGGACAGAACCTTCGACTACCGGGCACCTTGGGAAGCGATGATCCCTTCGAGGTAGGCTTGATACAGGGTGGAGCAAATGAGGAGATGTCAAGGACCCTGGAGATCAGGCAAGCGGCACTCGAAGCATTCGTGAGGTACACGACGGAAGCCAGCTTGAGGAAGGCGTCACAAGCTAAGTCCCGGGGAACAAGAACATTCGTCCCAGGCCAGATTGTCTATGTGTACCGGAAGCCACTTCCACGACGAGGAGCCGCTCCCGCTGGAACCAGAGCATGCTGGTGCGGTCCAGGCACACTGATCATGTTGGACGGTCGCAATGCCTGGGTATCAATGAAGGGCGAGCTGTGGAAATGTGCTCAGGAGCAGATGAGACTTGCTTCGTCAGAAGAGGAGGAGGCCATGAATCTGCTGAAGGAGGAGTTCGACGAGCTCAAGGAGCAACTGAGACGGGGCGAATCGAAGAGGGGGTTCAAGGACATCAGTCAATGGGAGAACCCAGAAGAAGAGGAAGAGCCTCCTGCACAACGAAGACGAACGGAAGAACCGGCTCCACCGGGTGAAGAAGCACTTCCACCCGCAAGCAATGAGGCTGGTGGAGGAGGATCGACGGTAGAAGAGGAGCCGGAGCAGGAGATGTCAGAGAACGCGGATGAGGATTCAGCCATCAACGTGCGCCCGGAACATCTGCAGGAGGCCACGGAGTCAGTCGTGAGGAATGAGAGACTGGATGGAACCCTTTCTAGGGGAAGAGGAGCCTATGAACCCATTCGCCGCAGACTGGCAAACATCAGGTGGCGTCCATATGAAGATGAGCTATATGTCATGGACGAGGACGACGAGATCCCAGAGGAGCTTGAGAGAATGGAGTGCCATTGGCAAGTAGATCTGAAGAGGAGGAAACTGATCTTCCATCACGGAGAAAACCGAACCAAGTTGTTCCACCCCTCAGAGACACGATGCCCTATTCCTTTGAGTTGCTTGTCTTCACAGCGGAGGACGGTGAGGCTGCACGAGGACGGAAGCAGGACGATGTGTCGTGGAGATTGGCGAAGGCCTAAGTCCTCACACGAAGAGTGCGGACCAGTTCGAGACTGGGTGGGCTACACGGAGTTCCACGTGAAGGCGAAAGTGAACCTCGAGAAGTACCACCAGATCTGGATGGCGAAGAAGAGCAGCGATGAAGTCAGGGAGGAGGACATTCCAGCAGAAGAATGGCCGCAATGGAGGGAGAGCGATGGAGCGGAATGGTCAAAGGTGGCCCAGACTGGCGCTGTGGTGGCGTTGAGTGAGGAGGAGTCGCTTGTGATCGAGAAACAGCTCAAGGAGGCAGGACTGAGCAGTAGGATACTGCCCTCTAAAATGGTGAGACGATGGAAGCCATCAGAGCAACCTGGCGTTCCACCTTCCCGCAAATCAAGGTGGTGCATTCGAGGAGACAAAGATCCAGACCTGCTGAGCCTCAACCGCTATGCACCAACAGTGACTACTGCCGTGGTGAACGTGGCGTTGCAGCTGGCGGCCAACAGAGGATTCCAAACCTACGTGGCCGACTTGAAGAACGCGTTCATGCCGTCAGGCAGGCTGGTGCGAGAAAGCGGGCGACTATTTTGCCGTCAACCCAAAGGAGGTCTACCAGGACTTAAGCCCGGTCAGCTGATAGAGATCATGGCTGGAGCCTATGGACTCGGAGATGCACCGGCTCACTGGCGCAAGAGTGTTCGAGGTGCCTTGCTGGAGTTGGGATATGAGCCGAGTGTCACGCATAGGAAGGAATGAGCAGGGCAACAGAGAGCTTGCAAGGCCTGGTGGTTGTGGAGGTGGATGACCTGCTGTGCATGGGCACCGAAGGCCACTATCAAGTGTTGAAGAAGCTGCAGGAGAAATTCACCTTTGGGAAGTTCGTGGACCTGAGGAGTCAAGAAGAAGGAGTGCCTTGGACATGGAGAAGTTCATCTTGGAGCGATTGCATCCTGTTCCATTCACCCTAAATGGAAGGAAGAAAGATGAGGATGCTACAGAGCAGGAGAAGAGTGATGCAAGAGCGTCGATTGGGGCATTGACATGGGCAGCCAAGGAGGGAAGACCAGACTGTGCGGCTGGAGCATCAATCATAGCAAGCTGTCTCAACAAACTCAAGGTCCAAGACGTCATTGACCTCAACAAGACGATCGAAGAGGCTAAGGTCCATGCGGACCTGACGGTGACGATTCAGCCAATCGAGGAGGAGAAAATGTGCGTTGGAGTGGTGACCGACGCGTCGTATGCCAATACTGAGGCCTACTCCTCGCAGGGCGGCTGTGGCATCTTGTGCTATGACAGAGAGCTTGAAAAGAATGGAGTGGGCCGAGGTAATCTGCTGTACTGGAAGTCCGCCAAGATCCACCGCATTGTGAACCCAACGCTGGCGGCAGAAACCCAGGCTTTGGCAAAGGGGCTCCAGGAACTAGCCTGGAGTATCACAGTGTACAATGAGATGGCCGATCCCGAGTTCGACTTGAAGGGGTGGGAAAAGAACGCCAAGCAGAGGCGTCTGATGGCAGTGGCCCGGGAGAACGTCGACGAGACCTTGCGGCAAGGGCTGTGCCTGGTGGATGCGAAGTCACTGTTTGACCACTTGGTCAAATCCACGGTGGGAAGCACAGACGACAGGCGCACCGCCATTGAGATGCAGCTGGTTCGTCAAAGCATGCAAGAGACAGGCACTTGTGTACAGTGGATCAGCCACAAGAGAATGATTATCGACTGCTTGACAAAACGGTTCGGGAATAAGGAACCGTTGTACCAATTCCTCAAGAGCGGTCTTTTGAATTTTTCTCAAGTACAGCCAACATAAAATGTTGGGAGCCTGTGGTTGTAGGCTTCACTTGGCTGCACTTGAGGTCATAGGCAAGAGCTTTTGGACACGACCAACCAATGCGGTCACGTCCGCTCATGGATGGGCTCAAAACCATCAAGCCCATGGGGCTGTTCGGCGCGCAACAGTGAAAAGCTGCGGTCGCGCTGGGATTCGTTTTCCATGCAAAGCTACCCACAGCGAGTATATATTGGTTTCAACGTCTGCGTTCCGCGTTCTGTCCTATCATGCGCGGCCATGAAGTGAGCAAAAGGACCTGATCTTGCACGCTAGGGGGCCCTCACCCTCACAATGCCCACCAGTTGAGAGTTTACATGAATTTACAACACACTTTTCTCACTCGGGTCGTCTGTGTTTACTTCCCTGATTCTTCTCTATCCCGGCAAGGGACCCCAAACAGTGTGTTTAAAGGTACTATATAAGGTCTAGAGGTGTAGAAGCAGAAGGTCTAGAGATCTAGACGAATTGGGATCCAGAGAGTGATGGTGGTGATGGTGGGGGTGAACCGAAGGTCTAGGTCTAGGTTAGGTGAAGGTACTGTAAAAGCAGCGAGGTAGCCGGACATGCCGATGAGCACCTCCAGACACCGGTCCTTAAGTTACCACCAGAACCCCCAGTGTGGACACATGTTTTTGGAAAGAATCGGGGAGGGGCGAGTATTCAAGTTTTTGGCAGATCTCCAGCTTCCGACCACGATTCCGACCACGTGAGCTCCTTAGGCCATCCCTCCCGAAGATGCAGCCTTCCGCCAAGCCGTCGTCGAAAGCCTGGCCCGCGGAAGCTTGACGGCGCCTCGCTTCCGCTTGGTGGAGACGGCGGGAGGGCCCCTGAGCCCTGGTCCGAACCATACCTTTCAAGCTGACATCTATGCAGCTTGGTGGCAGGTGAGAGGATCGCCCGTTCTTCTTTTCATTCCCAGACCGATCTTCAAGACTTTGCCTCACCTGGCCGCATACTCATACTCTCACACTGAAAGGCTTGTTGCATATGCAGTGAGGGCAGCGCACAGCTTGCCCCACAATCATTTTTTGTTGGCCTTGCGGTCTTGCGTGGACAGAGGCGTACCGTATTTGTATCATTGTGTATCTATTTGTTCAAGTCTTGTACTTACAGATCCGTCAGATTCCTCATACGCCATCTGGATCTGAGAGCCAGTCACAAATCGCTTAGATTCCCCAGCTTTACACAGGCTATACACAGGCAATCCGAGTGAAAGCGGCTTGGCACTGCACAGGCACCTCTTGGCTTGACCAGTCTGCTGGTGGGCGATGCGCGCCTGGGTGGCATCTCTGCCACGGTGTGCGCCTATGAGGCGCTCAAAGCACGAAAGCAAGCTCCTAAGATGATCCTCTTTGTGGGCAGTGGCTTGGGAACAGAGTTTGGTCCAATTTTGTTCTTTCCATATTTTTGACTTTGCTGAGGTAATGCGCAAATTGATGACAGGCTAGATTACTCTAAGCTTCTGGCCATAGGATCGCAACATGACTGGGTGTTTCCCATGTGCTCGAGGGAGTCACAACTCTCACGCGGTTTTCTTTTTTGTTTGCAAGCCATGTGCAACTGGCCAGGTGAAGGGCAGCACAGCAACGCCGTTGCGGTGCAACGAGCCTTGCCTGAGGTGCCGGTGGTCTCTATCCCACAGGTGCCGCCCCTGAGCGAGCCCTTGACCAACTGGGTGGCCTTGAAGGATGTGGCTGACGGAATGTCGCAGGTGCTCAGGGTGATGAAGGGCGAGATTCCGGGTGATGAGGAACATTTGCAGGGTGCAAAGCAAGAGGTGCAAGTGGAACATCTTCAGATTGATCAGAACCACTTGTGGCACCCTTACACCAGCATGGTGAAGCCTGGCCGCGTGTGGTCGGTGCGATCTGCGGAAGGCTGTCTCATCCAGCTGGAGGATGGAAGACGTTTGGTGGATGGCATGGCGTCGTGGTGGTGCGCCATCCACGGCTACAATGTGCCGGAGCTGAATGCAGCAGCTGCAAATCAATTGGGCCAAATGAGTCATGTGATGTTTGGAGGTCTGACCCACCGTCCTGCCACACTTTTGGCCAAACAGTTGCTGGACTGTGCGCCTGAGGGTCTCACACAGGTTTTCCTGTGCGACTCCGGGAGTGTCAGCGTGGAAGTCGCGCTGTGGCTAGGCCCTGGTTGCATGCTGTTTTCATATGTGTTCAGGTGTCCTGAAAGGCTAGGTCTTCGGCGTGTCTTGAGACTGACAAAGGAAGAAGTATGCATGATCAGCTTGGCCATCCCTTTTGCGACGTTCAACTTGGCCCTCTGACCCTCTGAGGAAAATGTCGCTTCAATACTGGGCCATGAAAGGAAAGCCGTCCAAATGTCGTATTGCGACGGTGCAGCGTGGCTACCATGGCGACACCTTTGGCGCCATGTCGGTGTGTGACCCGGTGCGTGGTATGCATACGTTATTCAAAGGAGCTTTAGCTCAGCAGCTCTTTGCAGAGCCTCCGGAGCTATCGACAGACTGGAGTACTGGCGACGATGGCTTCTCGAGCATGGAAAGCCTGCTGAAGGAGCGCCACCAGGAAGTGGCAGCAGTGATTATCGAACCGGTGGTTCAAGGTGCTGGGGGAATGCGTATCTACAATCCCTCCTACTTGCAAAAGCTCCGCCACTGGACTTGGACTTGCTGAAGATTTGGGGTCGTGATGACAAGGTTGAATGAGAGGGGCGGTGTTGACGGCACATTGTTTCTGAATTCTTCGATTGCTTTTTGTGGGCTTCCATTTTGGCATGGAAGGAGTCCACAAATCCCAGAAAACATCAAGAAAGGCACTGTGACAAAAATAAGTACAAAAACCACATGTTTCATCTTTCTGATCAGCTGAGCTTTGGGTTCCACGATGTTTCCCGACTTCCTCAGGTAAGCTTTGTGATGAGCTGGACGTGTTGCTGATTTTTGACGAGATTGCTACGGGCTTCGGGCGCACTGGGAAGCTTTTCGCTGCGGAGCATGCCCAGGTGTCGCCGGACATCATGTGCATCGGCAAGGCGCTGACAGGCGCTGCGGGCGATTGAGTTCCTGCTCTTTTTTTCTTTGTGGCTGTGTTCCGCACATGTGAATCTGTCTAGTCTAGACTGTATATGTATGGTGGCGCAAGACCAACCAGTCGTGATAGTCACCAATCACTTGGATTGTTGTAGCCATAGTGGCTGCGCTTGTAGTCCACTGGATGCTTGGAGCATAAACCAATAAACCATAACAAACCAGATGTAGTAGCACCTTTTGTGCTCCACAACTGGTCCAAAGACGTGTTTTGCCGAGGTGGCTACTGCACCCTAGGTGCTGCCATTGCTTCAGAGAAGGTGAGCCACGGAGTGAGCGGCCCGGACGGACGGCAGCCGCTGATGCATGGACCTACCTTCATGGGAAACCCGTTGGCATGTTCGATTGCAGCTGCCAGCATCCAACTGCTGCTGGATGGTCCATGGCATTCACGTGTGAAGAGCATCGAGGAGCTTTTCGCGTCGTGCATGTGATCGCGTCCGATGGTCCTGTAAGTGTCCGATGGTTTTCTATGTGATCTTGTTTGTTTCACAGGGGTTCTTTGACATTCACGATGCTGGATTTGATTGCTGGCTTCTTTGCAGCAGGTTTTTGGGCCAACCTGACTGACTTGTTATCCACAAACGAACGACGCTTGTTCGATCACTGTAACTCTTTGTTGTGTTTTCACCCCCTGATTGGGTGCTTCGAGTGCAGCCAAGCCGCTTGGCTTGGCCGTTCACGGGAATCAGTTACACTAGATTCATCGTATAGATTCTTTATATATAGATACTGATGTGTCCGATGCAACTGGACTCGTCAACTTTCTACCAATTGAAGCACGACGGAGCACGACTCGTCAGCTTTACTCACAGGAGCAGCTTGTCCGGGAGCTACGACCCTTGGCAGCCTATGCGGAAGTGGAGGACGTCCGTGTGCTGGGTGCCATTGGAGTGGTGGAGCTGAAGACTGCTCCTGCAGAGCCACAGAAGCTGCAGGCCATGGGTGGATATGACAGTAGGGTCACGGTAGATCAGGTGTGCTTTCTTATCATTGTTTTAAGATGTTTGAAGAGTATTATACTGGGACTCAAGTGACCCAGGATTAGCCGGACAAGGCTGCAGAAACACTAATCCTAAGTCATTGGGAACTGTGAAAATTTGAAACTTTAGCACTAGTCCTAAGTCATCAGGCTAAAACAAAGAAAAACGCGGCGAAAAATGGTTAGCTCCGGAGATTGTTTGATCATATGATGCAGGCGCCTGGAGGTGCCTCGTACACAAGTCCTAAGTCATCAGCATTTAGTTTGGACTGGGTTTGTACCGTGCACTTTGCCGTTCGCTGATGACTTAGGAGTTGGGAACCGCTAATCCTAAGTCACTGGTAGCGACAAGTCCTATGTCACCGGTACCCAGTATAGCGTGGTAGGTGCAGCAGGGCTAACAGTTACGTTTCATGGAGCATCAGTGGTGGACAAACTCTTGGATAAATTTGAGCAACTACATGGCATAGCGGTGTGGATGGCGTAGCTGTGTGTTGCTTGGGCGAGGTGGTGCAGTATCCTTCTTTCTTTGGACGCAAGCTCCTGTGAAGTTGACTTGTTGGTATATAGAGTCTCCTGAAAGAGCTTTTCAATTCCAGGTTCCAAACGTACCCTTCAGCATCTCCAACTTTTGAGTTGAACAAACCCACAGTGTTCCAAACAGAGGCGGCCTTGGTGGATCAAGGGGTTTGGCTACGACCTTTTGGCCGTACGATCTACACAATGCCCCCGTGCCTTCTTTCGAACGAATGGGCAGGTGGGAAACAGGACCTACCCAAGCGGACAGGTTGGGATGAGGACTTGTTTTCTGTCGGGGCACGTGAGCTACAAACGGATCGGATGAAGCGTGGACTTGACCTTGTAAATGTCAAGAACCCCATGAGGCATCTTCTCCAAGCAATTCTATTGCTGGTCGGATGTAGGTCATGGACCGAATGGGCTTTCATGAAATCACCTTCCCAATTTCGTTGATCATCCTTCCTGAAAAGCACCTCCATTTCCAAGCCATGATGTCCGTTTGCAAGCCGCGTGCCACCACTCAGCTTCATCTGCTTTGTCCCACATCGACCGAGGTTTGTCATCTCGTCTGAGGAGCTGAGCCGCATTTCCGGTGCCATTGCATCGGTCTTGGACGCCCACATACCGCGGTCTGCGGAGTGAAAAGATTGGGGAAACAGCAGGGAAGAACGACACATGGTGGGACGTGGTTTGACCGTTGGATGAACTAGACTAAGCGCAACAAATACCGTCGAAATAATTTTCTGCTTTAAAAGAGAATCGATTTTGCTTGCCCCCTGGTGGTGCTTCAACAAGCGTCATCACAGCTTTTCTGATGCAGTTCCCTACCACTCAGATTTCTTTTCCAATCGCATGCTCAGCGCTGTTGTACAATATACAGCAAAGAAGAGTGCACATCACACAGAAGTCTACACACAGAAGTCTACTTTATAATTTACAATATGGATGCTTGTATTGTATTGTATTGATTGATGTTTTCAGTCAACTTCAGTCCAAAGTCTGTCCATTTGCCTATCCATGTAGTCCGATCTTGTCCTAATTTGTCCTATCTACTTTTGGCCTCCATGTTCGTCCCCAACCTCCCAGAGAAACAAAGAATTCAAATTCAATCGTTGATCTACCCATTGGTCAACACTCCTTGGGCTGAGGAGTTGGAACCCAAGAACTCTGCAGTGCTCAGTGGCCGTGGCGCGTGCGAACTGGAGCTTGGGCAAAAGGTGGAGGCCGACTGATTGATGAATGGAACAAGCGGTACCCTGGTACCCTCGATTGGACTGGGTGGCGGCAACTGGTGGCGGAAAGGATGTAGATAGAAAGGATTGAATATGTGGAATGACCTGCAAAGTGGACTTTGATGTAGACATTGAATTGGCGGTGCAGCTCTACTTCTGGACGGGTCTAGTATCACTTCCTTTTGGGACATGGCACCACGCTACCCATCCCCCACAGATGTTTCCTCCATGTCTCAGTGGTTGTTTGCCTCATGCTACCCTGCTAGTCGTTCGCATCCAATAGATTCAGATAGAGCAGATAGTGCAAACGGATGATGCCAAGATCGTGTGACCGATATTGGAGTCATTGACGTTTGCGCATGTGATGTAGCTTCCAACATGTTTTGAGCGTAGATTTCCTGTGGTGCTGATGTCGACCATTGTGCCCCTCCAGGCTGCGGTGGATTTCCGAAATGCGTTGGCCCGGCATCCCTGGCCGAGGTGGTCGCGATCTGTGTAGGGACTTCAGGACGTTTTCCGGTTACAGCTTGAAACCAGAAACTCAGAGCAGAGGCTATTGCATTCCTCCGGACTAAGGAGTTCCATCTCACATTGTTGCACATCGGGTGGGTCAAGAATCTTTTGCGCCAAAAATGATAGGAAACAGGGCCCAAACTAGTGGTTCCACATAAATGTAAGAGTTCGATAAGAGCCACATTCACATGTCTCTGTAAGTCAATCCAGGTCTGACAAACTGTTAAACGACTACAGCAATTTTGACGATGTGCCCATACCAGCTAGAGCTTCAATGACAACAGCGACAGAGCAGCATACAATATCGTAGATGTCTATACCCCAATGCAAGCACATGCTCAAACCGTTTACTTGGAAGCCATACTGTATATCGCAGAAAGCCGTACCCGTATCGCGTTTCTGTGCCCTGAGGTCTCCAACCCCAAGGATGCCTTCGCACGGGCGTGGTTGGTGAAGGTTCGGGAGGTGTATCACTCAGCTGCTGCGCTTCTCGTGAGATTTCGGTTCTTGTTTGGAGCGGTCCTCCTCTTTCGTCGTTTCGGTGCCACGTTTGGACTGCTTTTCGGTACTCGGAGGGAAGTGGCCGTGGTCGCGCTTTTCAGCGAAGCCCGGCTGAGGAGATCCGGGCAGAGGTCGCCAACGGACAAGCCTTAGATAGTCCAAAGAGGAGTCGCCTTGGGCTGCGTGTGTATCTTCAAGAGGGTTTCATCGCGTTTCATCATGTGTCATCCAACTTTTTGTAAATGAGGGTCAGCTTTATCATGCTCTATCCACATATTGTCACGACGTTGTCAATGATGTCTTTGAGTTCTCCCTTGATCACGCATAAAAAGACCCTTTGAACTATAGACTCCACGGGCGATTCGAGAAACAATAGGGAACGCTCTAATCCCAACCACAGACTTGACTGCATCTCCAAATAAATATCCAAATGGTTCCTCAGTATCCATAAATTTTTGGTGGGAAGAGACTCGGCACCAGGTGATACTCTAACCCTCTCACCTTTGCTCAATCTCATCGTCTAGATCAGTGGCCGCCAGGATCCCACAGACACCGATGGCTCTACAGCCGCACGTGAAGCCGCCCCGACAAAGGGTCCGACCGGTGCTTCGAGCACCGGCTGAGCTTCCACCAGGGCCAAGAGCGCCTGTGCCCATCATCGAAGCCAGCCCGATCAGTCCAGAACAAGCAGCAACAACTGAGGCCAGTGCTCATGAGGCCCAGCCTGCCCAGGAGCCTGGTGAGGATGCTGAAGCCCTGGCCTTTGGCGGCGCTACAGGTAGTGAGGCACCCACCGCTCTGCCGGAAGCACCCGCCGCTGTCGTGCCAGCAGCATCCACCCAAGAGACCGCAAGGAGGCCGGAATCTCCTCAGTCCGGAAGCCTCGAAGCTGGCGAAGTGCACAAAGCTCCACCGCCGACCTCAGATGCACAGGACGCAACCCCGATCGCAGAGGCGCCACAAGTGGAGAGAAAGAGATGCTGTACCTTGGGTGTAGGGATTAGCTTAGTAGTGCCAGTGAACAAGTTCCGCGTTTTTGAGGAACAAGGGAGAGAACTCTTTGATTCTTCAACTGGCAGCCTGTGATTTGTGGCTTCACGAGCATCTTACTCGTATGTACTATGTATCCCTTTTTATGCCCTTCATGGATCTTTATGGAGCCAGCTGCAGTGAGGTTGGACTGGTTTAGCGTGTGTGCAGCATGTCTGTTGTGCTGATTGGCATCGCCCAATGATGTGGAATCATGGTTGTGCAGGTGTTCTCCATTCCTCAGATGGACCCTACCCAAGAGCCGGCGCCTGTGTCAGTTCCTGAGCATGGTTTGCAGTAAGAGCCCCTGGAAGATGGAGTTGATTGTGCAATAAGATCAGTCACCTGAGGCGGCGCAGCGCGAGATTGCAGGCAAAGTTGCAGGCAAAGGCACTTCCAGAGAGTGCCAATCTCCGCTGAACATCAAGACCAGTGCTATTAGTATCATGCACCTAGGTGGTGGGGGTGAAACTGTGAGGCAACAGCTCATCCACCCGGAGTGAAGCCAAAGGCTAAAGCCAAGACGAAGGCCAAGGCCGGAGCCGAGCCGGGATGACACACTATTGGCAGAGTGGCAGCCACACCATGACTCGCAGGTTGCTCGCAGCTTGGGACAAAAATAGGTCGTCTACTATAGAGCCTGGTTGTTGCCTTTCATTTTGCAATGGATGATTTCAGCAAACGCGGTGGCTCGTGGCTAGTGCCCTTGATGCTGTATATAATTATAGTCAATTTCAAAGAGTTTCCCTTTGGAGCATGTATATATACCGGCATTTTTGTATGTCAAGACTAAGACCATGGTGAAAGCACATGTTAAAATGCATTTCACATGTCAAGAATGTGTGTTTTTCCTCAGCAAGCATTGATTTATAGACTCTAGACTCTAGACGGAGATTGACCAGCTGATGCAGAACAAATATGCTCCCATGGTCTACCACAGTGTCAAGACTATGGCTGCATGAACTATCCAAAGCTCCAAAAGAGTCCAACATAGGATTTTGGCATCCGGACAAGACAGTGGTGAACGAAGAATTATCTGTGCCTGACGTCCAGCTTGGTGCCAAGACTACAGCTTAGAAAACAATTCAAATCACAAAAACACACCGGGCAAGATAGCCGGTAAAAACACGTGTAAATGGAAGGTGGACAGCACGCTCCGAGTCAGATAACAGGCAACAAAATACGATTTTGCCTGCAAACAAGTGTCATCGCGGGCATGGTAAAGCAGACATGTCAGGTATCAACTAGAAGGTGAAAATGCTGTTTCGTGAATATCAATACTATTGAGAAAGCGATGGCTGACACGATTTCGACAGTACTCCGGCCAACGTCAAGACTTTGGAACTAACTATAGATGTAATTAGGACATATGCTATACCATTTCAGACACTCATATATGCCCACCTCGGCCGCGCGGTCAATACTGGCACTTCTCACCGCGAGGCCAAACCCGATCCACCTGGAGTGAAGCCAAAGGCCAAAGCCAAGCTGAAGGCCGTAGCAAAGGCCAGGGTCCTGGTGGGGAACCGGTGTGCACTGGAAGAGGGCAGACTTTGGTAGATGAAACGGTTCCTTTGGTTGGCTTCCTTGTTTCTATTTCAAGAGGTCCCGAACGAGCCACTACTATTATGAGTAGTCCGTGTGCGCAACGTTGATTGACAGCCTGGTGTTGTGCGGTGCCTGCCAGGGCAAGGCAAAGGCAAAAGCACGCGTCATCAAGGCGCAACCTTCCACTCAGTCACTCCCAACATGCAGAGAACAGAGCGGGCACATTGAAAACCTGGCAAACAAGCTTTGAGCAGAAATTGTGTTTACATGTTTCTTTTTTTTTGAATGATCATCATTGTTCAATGGAGAAAAACGAGAGGTGCTGTGTCCAACCCCGTTCTTGACAGTCTTTGCACCTTGCGACGTTGGTTGTTTCAGTATGGGGGGTACCATGGGAAAATATTCCAGGTTATAATGTGAGTTGATGGAATATTTTTTGGATTTTTGGGAGATTGTTTTAAAGGAATTTATAGCCCTGGGTATAGGATACCGTATACTGGACACATACCTGGAATATTTTTTGTTAAGATGATATGTTGGCAGCACTACAAAGAAGAAACAATTCCAGAATGCCATGTGAACATGTACCTAGATGTACCTAGAATACTTATTTGCAACAACTCAGCATATACCTGGAATATTAACCCAAGGGACCTATAAGATTTGATACGATTTGTTTGTGCGATGTCGCTGACAAGATGCTTGGACATGATTCGACATTCTTCGACACATTTCGACAGTCGAATAGTCGAGGTGGAGCTGTCGAATTGTCGAGTTTTCGATAACTGGAATGATTGTGGAACATAAAAAGGGTGTAATTATTCCACTTACTAAACTACCTATTGGAATACTTTATTGTAGCTATCTGACACTATACTGGAATATGTTTTTAATATTCCTGCAGGTATCGACGGTCAGGGGTATCTAAGGCACCCCCCATGTTTCAGTTCCAGCCATCCTGACAACTCGTTTTGGACCTGTGGTTTCAGGATCTGAGCTGAGAGACCCGAGAAAAAGGTGCAGGTCAAGCCGGTGGTCAAATGTGGTCAACGAATGTCAACGATGACCAAAATTACGTGAAACCTTGAGGATTATAGCTGAATCTTCGTGTGTTGTGTTCATCCTGTCTTTTTTTTGGCCGACATACTGCGAAGTTTCACCCAAGACATCCCAAGACATGCACACCCGTTTGATACGTTCAGAATCAGACATTGCCAGTGAGCGGGCGAGTTCTGTGATGCTTTTCGCAGTGCCTTTGGGCTCGGAAGCTCCGGGTGCACCCTGGAGAAGTTGTCTGCGATGTGACCTGGCAGTGTTGATGTGCTCTTTCGGTGGAGTCCACCGGTTTGGTTCACTCACCCAGTACCCACCTTGTTGGAAGGCCCTGGTGTTTTTAGAGTTCACACTCACACCATTCACGGCCTTCCCTGCGACAGATGTTCGTCTTGGGTGGGTCGCAACATTGAGAAGCGTTTGAGTGCAGCTTCATGTTGAGATCTAGGTCGGACATGTCAGGATTCCAGGATTGTCTTGATTTTGATGCCCACTGTTTTGAGATGTTTCGAAGGAGCAGTGTGACATGAACCTGCCAAACATGCTGGACATTCCATTCCAAAACTTGCATCCTTAATGCACTTTGTCAAGGCCTCCTGCTGTGGTCCGGAACCCAAGTGGAAAAGCATGGTTGCAAAACATAACTCATGGCCACAACAATATGCCACAACTAGACCAGGAGTAGTAGAGTGACCTGCATACCGTGAACGGCTCACGGCTGGTCAGTGACATTTCAGGCTTATAAGTTCGAGAGCCTGCCAGTGGAAGCCCAAAGACTCGTGGGGTGCTCGTTCCGCAAGACATGTCAATGTGGAAGTGCTCGGTTCGAGCATGCCAAGAGACTGGTGAATCAAGTCACTAAAGGGACAAGTGATGAGGTCACAAGGTTGCAAGGGCGGGTGCCATAGCCGAAGCTTGTTTATCACAACTTTACACTTTACCGTATACTCAACAGCCAGTGGAGGATTACAAACCATCCAAGCGGTTCTTCGTCCCTTAAAGGGTGACGCAGCTCGCTTGAAACAGGCAATTTTGGCCCTTCGGCTTTGATTTGGGCAAGCAGGCTGATGTGCGACGGCTTCTCTACCTGGTGGTTGCCATGCTTGTGATCTTGCAGAAGCGCCCAGCGGTTTGGTTGGAAGGTGAAGAAGTCGCCGGAAGAAAAAGGCTCTGAAGGCATGATAGGAAAGGCGGTTAGCCAGCTCTAGGAAGTAGGGTTTTCCAAAAACGTGCCTCCCCCGCTCCCGTTGTAGTAGTCAAAGAAATGCAAAAAAGGACACCAGATTGAGTGAAAGACAGATGACACCTTTAGAGGACTGGAATGACCACAACCACGGAATCCACAAGGATGGATCGACCAGAGAGCTAACTAGAGGTCCCATGGCACGCACGTGTGATCCCGGGCGAAATCCCAGTGCTTGCGAGCCATTCTGTGATAATCACTGTCACCTTGTTTTGTGTACCTGGGTGTGATTTTGGAGGGTTCTACAACCAATGGTCGATGTATTTCAATGTGCGGAACTAGTCTCTGACATAATCGCTTTGGTGGCCGTGCTATCTTGGCTGCAAGCTGATGCTTCCATACTCGTATCAAAGCCATTCATACAGGCATTGTCTTGAACCTGGAACATGGCCGGCAACGGCTAGAACCAGACTCTTATCAGAACCTTGTCTTCGTGGGGCTCGTAACAAATGAATCTGGAGGCTTGCCTTCGTGTGGGGCCAGGAGCAATCTGGACCAGAAGTTTCCCTCTGACTCTGGAGCCTTCCAATCAGCCTAGTCGCCATCTGCGCATGAGACTGTTCACACCCCGACGCCATGGCCTTCTTTTGCCGCTGTAGTGCAGCGACAGGGGAAGCGGCACTGGAAGATGGAGACAGTGCCATTCGACAAGAGGGCTGCCTGGAGAAGAAGCAAAGCCTCTTTTTTTTGTGCTTTGGGTTCCAGTGGTTTTCATTGGGTTCCACTTGGCGCTTTGCTCTCAAATGCCTCTATGCTGGTCCAAGTCTCGCCTCCTGCGACTCCTTGATTGATCCTTCTCCTCTCGCCACCTTCGACGGTGCTTGGATGAAGGGGACTGGCTTGTCGTCCTCAACAGTCTCCTCCTTCTTGTCCGCTGCTCCTCCGGCTTCTGGGTGCCGCTCACCAGGGTGGATCCCCGACTCGTAAGGAGTTTTGACCCGGGTCTTGCCGTCCTTGTGCTGGATCACCAGGTATCCCTTAGGATCCACCAGCCCCGCAGTTCTATCTCCCCCGAAGAATATGTTTCGTGCCCTTTTGGTGGAGAAATGGCTGCCCGGTGCCATGATACCAACCTTCGCCACAGATGCATGAAGGGCTGGTGTTTCCACTCGTACCAGCTTGCTCTCAAGACAGTTGGTTTCGTAGTTGTACCTGCTGTTTTTCGAGACTTTCCTAAGGAGATGCACAGCTGTCCCACATGGAAGACGTGCCTTGTCCACCAAATTCACAGCGGATCAACATCCTTGCGGGACGGTGCCAGGCAAATCGCAGGTTTCGCAGGCTTCTGCTGTCACAATTGTCAGCGAGCCTTGGCTTCAAGTGGGAAGTCAATGATGGATTCGAAGTCAGGTCTCGCTGCAACTGGCCAAGCAGGATCAGTCTCTTGGGATTGACGAAAAGGCGCCGGAATCGACCTTGCGAATATGTGAGATGATGCATTCTTTTCTGTTGTCCCAAGCCATGCTTGCTCAGCAAAACACTCACACGTTAAAGTCGAAGTCACCCAATCGTCGATCACATGGCTAAGAACTCTCAGAGAAAGTGGCTCAGTTCATTGCTAGATTTTTGGCATTGGGCGACTCTACCACTGAGTCACTGAGCAAACGCACGATCCCAGAGGCATCGGAGCATTCCACAGTGACACCGTCTATTCAGGACTGCAAGGGAAGCTCAAAATCACTTGATGTTTGCCAGTTCTGCTGGGACATAGGCCTCCCATTGTTCCAACAAACAGATGTCGGAAAGATGAGGGGGGCAAGGTTGCCCTACCTCCCACAGAAATGCAAAGGCTTTGGATCTTGTGGAGTTCTCTGACACAAAGGAGATCTCCATGGAACTCCCTACATTGGAGGCGGAGGAGAAGATTGGGAAGGCAGGAAAATCACGTGGATGTGTATACCGTATGGTATAAATAGGAAGCCAGAAATTCCGTGGTAGAAGGAACTTTGTGACAATCTGAATCCACTTCGTCACCTGCAAGCAAGAGTCTAAGACTCGAAGAGGCAGTTTGTCCAAGGAAGGTCCTCCAGCTTTTGGTGGCTTTGAGGAACAGACGGTCCTGGTTAGGAAGGTAGAATGGAGCACCAACTCGGCTGCAAGGCTCCAGAAGCCAACCCTCTTGAGGAAGTAGAAGCGACGGAGGCCTTCAGGGTTAATTTATGTTAATTTCATAAGATCCATGTATTAATTAATGTGCTTCGGATGCCGTTTCCATTGTTTTCCATGGTCTTGCTGCTTGGGACTATACAACGTCTCGCTTTTCCTCCCCAGCATATTGTGCGGGGGCTGATGCAGAGGCAGCTCCAGAAGTGAAGCCCGAGCCGCAGAAAGCTGAAGAGAAGGCAAGAATCACTTTGAAAAGGGGAAGCTGTGGTGCCCCTCGGGCCCACATGTCAGGTGTTGAACCAGCGAACAGCACACCAGAGATGATATATGTCATGATGAAAGTAAGTTGGCCTGTAGGGCAAATTTTGTGAGGCCAGCCTGAGGGACGCATGATGATGTGTTTGAGTTCGGCGGAGCCACCAAATCCCAAGCACACGTTTGACTCCATGACTCTGCGTCAAGCTTCTAGTAGCTTCTTGCTCCTAGTAGTAAGGCCAGGAGCCCCTAGTAGCGTCCTTGCTC